TCCTCTTGTGTGTCCTGTACCTCAGCTGGCCTGGAACCCTCCTCTTGCTGTAACTCACTGAGCACAGGATTCTGACACTTCCTGTACCAGATGCCTCTTGATCTTGCTTCTCTGAGTTAAATCCCTCCCTAGTCAGGCCTCAGATCTCGCTAAGATGAGGCCCTCCCCATCTAGAGTGTTCACCTCACTTGGTTTCTACACCTCAGACCTGCATTTCCCAGAGAGAACAACAGCTGAAGCACCCAGGAATGGAGCCATGCAGACACCCCATCCCAGTCCCCAGTGAAGATCCAGGAACTCCGAGGAAGGGCCTGGCCTCTGGGCACTTTCCTGGGCCAGCTGAGAGCTGCAGCGTCAGCCAGCAGGCTCCTTCTAGAATGTTCTGCTTTATGTAAACAGCCTAGCTTTTCTTCTGGCAACAGCTTCTGGCTCATGGCGTAGCCTCAAACCTCATTTGCTTAGGGAATAACATATGGAAAATTGAATCCCAGCTTACTCCTGGGGGGGGTGTGGTGTGGGGAGTGCTGTGATTGAGGACATCAGACGTTAAAGTAAATTCTATATAGGTAATAAATACGGGGGTGGGGTGGGAGAGTTGTGTTTGAAATTTGACTTCAGACTCTGTGGAAAAGTTTCTGTGAATCTTGGAAAGAGCTTTGAATCTATTAAAGTGACAGAATAGGTAACTAGATAGCAGATAAACAGCAGGGGGCTGTCATTGACACACTCAAGTGACTACTGATAATATATGTTTTGGGGAAATATTGGCTCTAAGGAAATTTTGAGAGGTGCCCTCTTTCCAGATATCTGGGGGCATTACTGAACTTTCTGATATAGCCTCATATGTATTGTTCATTTTTTTAAAAAAATAATAATCTTTCATTTTCACCAGATCATCAGAAAGTAATACTGTGAAGATTTTAAGACAATCTCTACACAGAAAAAAATAGCTCTAAACACATGTTTCAAACCCGTTGTCTCTGGCTCATTTTATCCTCTTGACTGTTTTTAGACCTTTAGAGAAGCCTTCCACATCCTCATTAAACCCCGAAGTGGCCTTCCTGAGAGTAAGGGCCTCTCCTCACAGACCTGTCCTCAGGGCTGGCTGGGGCTCAGTGTTCATTCTTTTGATCAGTGTGCTCTGGACTCCCACTGTAATGATGCCCACCAGCTCTCCAAGCCAGGTAGGAGGCAGCCTCAGGAACAGGGTCCCTTTGTGTATAATTAGAAGTGTAGGTGGCTTGTTCTTTTGTCCCAGCAAAGGGTACCAGCCAACATGCCTTGAACAAAAAAACTGTAAAGAATAATGTACTTGCATACACTCATGACATCATGCTAACTAAACCTATTTACCAAGGACAGGGATGCACATGTTTTGGTTGATATCAATGTCTAAGAAGCACAGAAAACCTAACAGGTTTTGAAATCTGACCTGCATGAATCTGGGCTGAACTTTTTGTTTTTGTTTGTTTTAAATACAGGGCTGATACTTATTTACTTCTAAACTCTTCCTGATTTAAACGGTAAGATGCAAATGCTTTGAGAGCAACCAAATGGAACCGTATTTGATTTGGAATATTTGCATGGGCACCGAGCACAGTGGTGACTCCGGGCAATGAAGCAGCAACTGGAACCGTGGTCACTGGAGCTTGAAGCGAATTGATGCCAACACCCTTGAGCCAGGAAGTCTGGAAACAAATTTTCACCCAGTCCTAACATACAAGTGGCTGGCTGGCTACAGTGCCGTGACCCATAGGACCTCTTGTTTTATTACCGATCATGTGTTAATTCTCATTAAAAGTGCTGAAACCAAAATTTTCAATTAGGTAGATACTATTCTTTTTTCATATTTTAAAATTTATTATAACATCAATTTCTGACACTTCTCTGCATTTTTTTTTTGGTGTAGGCAAATGAAAACATTAATAAAATACAGTATGTTTTGTTTACTCTGATGACAAACGCATCCAGGGAGCTGAGAAGCTGAACTGGGTAAGCGGGGGAGGGGCTGTTTCCAGATGTGTATTGCTATCATTTTTGATGACAGTTTTGCAGAGATTTCTTATGGTTTCTGGGATGTTCTGATGGGAAGTTGGAAGCTGTCAGAACTTCATCCCTCCCTCCTCTAAGACCTTCAGGGACTTCAGCATGTGGGATCAGTGTGGGGCTGAGCCCAGCATCTGTACTGTCGGTGAGAGTCTGATTCAGGATCAAGGGTTCTAAGACCACATCCTGAGAAAGTCTCTCTGGATGCATAGAGTCTGTGGAATCACGCTGCTTCCTGATGTTGCTCAGCCGTACAAGGCTCCAGTGAGCATGCAGACAGCCCGTGGTCTAAAAGACATCCTGGTCTACGGAAGACAAGCTCTTAAGCTCTTCAACTGACCAATTCAGAGATGAGAAATAAAGCTCACTACAATCTTGTCACCTTTGGAAATGTCTGGTTTTAGTGTGACATATTTAATTGCAGATAAATAATACTGTGGGACTATATAGGTTTTTAAATGCAATCTTTTTTTCCTATATTATAGCTGAGTATTAGAATATGCTTGTCAAAACTTTTTCAGAGATGGAAATATTAATTTTATGTATTAGGTGTTCAGGCTAGGTTTGTAAGAAAGACAAATGTACTGGTGAGCTGAAAGAAACCCTTTCTTCCCCTCTCTGCAAAAAAGAAAAAAAAAATTTTTTCAACTGCAATTTGGCAGGGGCTATGGCAGTGTTGTAGAGCTATTTTAATAGTTTAGGTCAATTTAAAGTATCATCTGTTGCCAATAACTTTTTAATTGACTTTGCTTTCCTTTGTCACTTTGTCTAAGCAATATTTGTGAAACCAAAGATTTCTTATATTTTTCTTATACTGTATTTTATAATTATACCTAATATTTTCTTACACTGTAATTTCTTAATACTTTCCATAAGTATTAAAGTAAGATGAGCATCTATGTTGCCCCTAAAAATCATTATACCAAGCTCACCTACTGGTACAACTTTGTGAAAGAGGCTAAAAATGGGTAGTCCTCACCCTCAAGTGATTTACATTTTTTCCAAGTCTATCCCAGCACTCTTATAAGAAATAAGGAAGAAAGGCCATGAGGCCTTCAGTTGTTGGCAAGAGCATATGCTCTGGGGAGCTGATCTGTAGAGGCAAACACACACTGTTTGTACACATTGATCCAGGGGCTATTTCTGTCAACCAGCCTTATGTATAAAAACAAAACTACAGCCACCTAGAAGACAGAAGTTAGGGCATGATTACAGGGTGGTATTTCTGTCTCACTGAAAGTGACTGTATCATTCAAAACATTTTAGGAAGATTTCCTTTAGTGGTATGGAAAAATTTTTATAATCTAACGAGTGGCCTGTAAAATAAGATACAGTGTGGTCTCAGTTTTATAAAATGGAATCTGCTTGAGGAAAGAAATAAGCTTAAGTTAAACTGAGTTTTTCCATTAATGTTTCATCTGGATACTTTTATTCTTTAAATCCTCTCAGCTTTTTAAATCACGTAAATATAAAAGAAACACGTAAAATATTTAATCAAGATGGCTGCATAAAAATCATTGCTAAATCCTTTTCCCGTGAGCCCTTTGTTAACCTCAGCAGGCATCTAAGCTGGGCAATCTGTCACGGTCCTTTTCCTACCTCTCTTGCTGCCATGGTTCAGGCCACCATCATCTCTACTTTTAATGTTCATTCTGCATCTCTATTTAAGCCCTTCTTCAATGTATCCCTCACAGCCAGACTGATGTTGTCACAGCTGTATTCAGTCTTTTTCCATTTCTCATCGTATTTGGTGAGAAAGGGCAAGTCTCACAATGGCCCCCGAAAGGCCATGTTTTCTGGGCGGTCTGTGCCTCTGATCTCAGCTTTGTTTACTCTCTTTCTCCTCTAGTTCCTCTACACTGGCCTGTCCTGTACTCTCATGCTCCTCCTTCTGAGCTAGGGATGCTCGCAGCCGCTTAACCGAGGCTTTTTCTTCCAATCCTGTGTCTTCACTTAGGGCTTTCCTTGAATCCTTCCTTGAGTTAGCAACTCCCTGCCTGTCTGCCTCTAGGTTCTTCACTCATGTCCCTGCTTTATTTTTATGTTTCCCTTATTTTGGCATTTATCTTCATCTTGACTGCACCCTCTGTCCCCTGAAAGTAAGGGTTTCATTCGATTCATTGATGAATACCCAGTGCTCATTACAGTCCTTCCATAGTGTGACACCAGTGTCTGTGCAACGAATGAAGGAAACGTCTCCCTTTAAGTCAGCTTGTCATGTTTTCTTTCTACTCTTATATTCCGTCTTTATCCTCTAGTGGTGGCTTCTGACCACCTTTGTGGCCCTTTGCTTTGCTAATCTACCCCACAGCATTGACATTTCTCATGCGGTTTCTACCTCTCCTATCCTTTGACTTGGGCTTGTCTCGGTACCATTTGAGTCTGTATGACTTCTTTCTCTTTCTCAGCATCTGCCTTGGCTTAGCCAGGTTCAGCTCTCATCTTTCTAGTTCTTAAACTTCTGCTGTCCAAAAAGCAATAGAAGATGCTATTTATTGTCTGAAGAAAAGTAGGTAAGGATGTGGGCTTTATCTTATGTAGTGCATGTCAAGAGGAAAGTGGAATGTGTCAGAAATGAAAGACAAATATAGAGAGCTAAGGACTGAACACATGATTTGTGGCCTCAGAACAAACTCTGGGTGTGTTGATATAATTCATGAGGAACTTTCTTTCCTTAACTCAGTCTTCATAAATGTTTGAATTATTAAAACTGAAACATAATTTTAAATGAAATCAGACAACTGTTAATGAAATATGAGTAGTCATTCTATGACAGAGTATGACTTAGCAGTATATATTAAGCTTAGGAATATACTTTATTTTCTTATCTAGTATCTTACCTAGTGGTTCACAATACTGATCTCATCGGTCATAGGTCATTCTTAGAAAAACCTGAATGGCATGCTCTGTCAGTGAATGGAGCAGAATATCATGTCACATGGGTGTATGCTTACCTGGTTATGAATGTCCTCTCATTGACAAAGATCCATGAAGGGTACTGGTCATCCATCATTGTCATCCTTTCCCCCGTTTCCAAAATGATCTGAGGACACCCTAAGACATTAGAAAAGCGTTAATGCTTTGTTGCTGAGAGATATCCTTAAGTTCGTTTCTTATTTAAATCATGTATTTGCTTATGTCTCTATTGTACATGAGAAGGTTTTAAGTCCATGTGAGGGATTACAATCCTTCTACTGCAGCAACCTAACCTCAAGTGGCTGAACACTGGATCAGGTCAAGATTCCAGGTGCTGACGTCAAGTTCTGGCTAGAGAGCTGACTAAGGATGATATAAGAGCCTCCAGCTCTCCCGAAGGTTCTGGAACCTGAGATCAGATATCAACAATTACCTCTATTAAGAGTTCATATCAATGGCATAAGGGTGTGATCACAAATATTGAGTGTACTTTCTGCTTTCTCTATTTTGCATCCACACATACATATCATTGCTTTGAGCCTGAAGAATCACAGTCACTATATTCAGAATCAAAAGATGGGCTGGAAAGAAAAGTTCAATTTTCTTAATAGAAAGTACCTAGATGGTATTATACATACTAATTCCCTAGGAGGGAAAAAAGGAGGAGGAGAAACAGGAGGAGGCAGAGAAAAAGGGGTGAAGTAGGAGGAAGAAGACAAAATAGATGAAGAAGAAGGAGGAGGAGAGGAAGAAGAAAAAGAGGAAGGAGAAGGAGAAGGGAGAGAAGGAGGGG